CTGGGAGCAAACACTACCTTACCGCACCGAAGCAAGACACACTTGAAAAAGAGAAAGCATTATAAGTAACAAGGAGCAGTACTTGATATTAGGCATCCCTCAGTGCATCCCTCCTTTCCTTCAGCAAATGAAGAACCAGGCGGGAGCAGGAAGGAAGGCGGAGGAGTACTGCATCTGTCCAGAAACACAACAGTAATTCTCACCTTCAGCAGCTTTTCCTGAGCCGTATCACAGGCCAATGAAACACAGAGTTTTTCCGTGCTGCTAGCTAGCACTTGGACAGAAATCATGAGAGGACAGGAACGTGATGTAACTTTTCCCTCTGAAAAGGAGTCCCCTTGACGCTCCTGAGAGCACTTCCCTTCCACCCAGAAACCCAACTTGTAAATAACCACGTTTCTGGTTTGCACCTGCCATCAGGAATTTCACAGGCCTCTTCTCTTTGGTCAGCATCCCCACCATGGCACTCAGAAGGTGGTGCAGCCTGTAGCAGCACAGCTTTCAGTAACAGACACCTTCGTCGATGGTGGTGCACTGGTGGAACCACCCAAGTATCGGTGGGAGGAACCTCAGGAAGACCCGGCCTGAAGCAGAGAAGGTCATCAGGGAAGCTGTAGGGCAGCCTGGCAACCTCTTGCACATGCTGAAGAGACATCGGGCAGCTTCGGACATAGCGTAAGTGCTTCAGGAGTGCCCCTGCACCACACATGCTTCCTGGTGGATAACCCATTGCAACCCTTTAAGTCTTGCCTTAAGCCACTTTTTAGAAGCAATGCAAGCTTTTATTGCTTATCCTTTCACCACTCAACCTCCTTTCAATACATCTTCTCAGAGTCCTCTTTTTAATTTCAACAATATCAACAACAAAACCTAGTCTTCCTTTTCCTAACTCTTTCCTGCTCTCTCTGGGAAGCACAGAAGAGTCCTCACAGTGCCTTCTGTACCCTGTCTTTATCAAGGAGGTGCTTCAGCTTCACACACCCAACACTCAAAACTAATGCCAACTGGCTGCGTAACCACAGAAAGCTGCTGGAGTTGCCACAGTTGAGCTGCATCATGAGGCCTTCCCCATGGTGACCTTCAGGGGCCAGAACCAAAGTCAATCCTCAGGCTGTGCATCCCAAGGCAATCCTTAAGCTTTCTTCAAGGCTGTCAAGGTTCTCTTGGCTGAGAGAACCTTGGTGAGATGCGTACATCCTCTTGTATGCGTACATACTCTTGGAGAGAATCTTGGTGAGATGTGTACATCCTTCAAAGAGCTGAAGAGGACAGGCTCACTTCTGGTTCATCCTTGCCACTTGTGTCAGGTTGGGGAAAAAGATACTCTCCTTCAGGCCCTGAAACCAGTGGGTCTTAGAGCATGAGCAGGTCTTGAGGTCTAATGTCCACAGCCCACCAGCACTTTTAAGCAGTAGCACTTATTTAATCTGAGAGAGTCCCAGATTGTAGAGAGTTCAGAATATGCACAGACCTCACATTTACTACTCCTCCCTCCCAGGCTGCTGAGGACAGCACTCTTTCAAGGCTTTTAATAACTCTGTTTGCAAATCACATCTTTTTTATAGAAGAAGGCTCATCTCATTGATGGACCACGACAAAAGCAAGTGCTATTAAGAGCTTCCAAGAGTGCTGCCAGCCTTCAGAGGGTGATGGCAACCAGTCCCACAGGCCCCACTGCTGCCAAAGCCATGCTTCTCTCTGCTGCAGGGTGGCACTGACTGCCCAGAACCTGAGCAGCAAAGCTGCTTTTTCCTCAAGGAAGCTATGGAAGTCCCAGGCTTGCAAAACAATGATTTTGACTGCTGTGATTTGTTTCATGTTTAACGTGAATTAAACGCCAATAACTGAAGACTAAATCCCTAATCCAAACTTCTCATTCTGCAAGTGAGCAATTCTCTGTCCCACTCTGGCTGAAAGGCAATCCTTCGCCCCTCTTAAGTAACAGCCTTCTTCAAATTCTAGTGGTGTTCATGTAAATGTCCCATCAAATAAGCTCCTATCATTAATTAGTATTTAAATTAAAAATGCAAAGCCTCAAGGTGTATAAAGGAAAATAAGTGATGCACCTGACTGTACAAAAGTTATCACTGGTTTTTGGCTGGTTTACAAATATAAGTTGCTATTCAGTAAGTAAATTGATTTTTTATTTTTATTGTGTCTGAGTACTTCCTCCAAGTACATCTTTTGTGAATTCCCATTTCAAAAGTAGAATTTCATGTTTATTGCTACTTTTAGTGCAGAAGTTCGGGCTGGTACTTTATATATGACAGGAAGAATTACCCTTTGAAGACCAAAAGGGATTGTTAAGTAAAAGCTACCAACCAAAAAAGCCTATGCAGCTACTGCTGTCAACTTTGAAAGATTATTTTTATCTTAAGACAGCATGACAGTAACACACCCAGTCATAATTTAAACCACAAAGTGATGAAAAATTCATCCTGCCCCTATCTAAAGTTCTGCTAGGAAGGGAGATATTCAGTAAGCTCCTACTATTTTGTACCTTCTGCAGTATGTAGCCTTTAGTGCAGCCTTAGTGCTATCATCATGCATTTCACTCAAGTGAAATAAAAGGGGGAAAAAAACCCAACCAAAAAACCCGACAAAAAAACTTCAAAAACCAAACCCAAGTTAATAGAACAAGCTTAATTTAGTTTACCCCGTAGACAAATTTTAGCTTGCTGAATTCTGCTCACTGTATGATTATTCACCTAGAGAATGAAAAACTCCCTTTCCCCTCCCTCACCCCATCAGATGTGGAAAAGTGTGCACCATCTTCATGATTAAAGGTACAGACATAATAGACAGAAGAATGTGAACTATGATCTCTGAAGGAGCACACTGAAGTCCTAAAGCTCCCCATCACACCCCACCCAGTGCTGTTCATGCACACAGAAGATACAGGGCATGAACCCTTGGCACATATGTTTAAGGAGTACATACACAGCAATCTACATCCCTCATATTTAATACCAAATAATCAACATGAAGAGCTATTCTGTCCTACAACAAAAAGACAACTGAATGAAGAAATAAAAAAGGTATGTGCACCAAACTTCAGTTAAACTCCTTCCTTTCTTGCCAATCTGAGAAAAACTGTATGGTCTCCATCAGAAGAGATACATTCCTCTGGACATTTGGGGTAGAGGAGGAAAAGTCTGAGAGCTGATCTGATCCAGCCCAAAATTCCCTCGGAGCACTGACAGCTCTTCAGCCTGGTTGTGCAAAAGGCTGACAGCATCCACAGCTAACAGCTGTCAACAGAGCAACAGAATAATTAGCCTGAGACACAGCCACCTGCTTTTATTTCCCCTGACCACGATGACAGGAGTCCCTCTGATGATGAGAGGGAAAGTAAGGGAGGACAAACACAACACGAAGTTGGACTAATAGGGCTGTTCTTCAGAATGAGCCTGGAGCAACGTTCAAATCCGTATCTCAAACAGCAAAATAAAATTCACCTTTACAAGGCCCATCTCTACTACCCACATCAGTGTACTTTTTAGCTTTTCCTCTTCCCTTACGAAAACCCATCTTCAGGTATTACCCACAAGCATCGTGCAGCCCAGTTTAATTCACTATAATTGTGATCTATATTGACAGGGTTTCTTTCCTTACAGAGGTGGTGTGAAGATTAGAGTCACAAGACAGCCTGCTACTTCAGCACAGAGAACCAAGGGATATTTTGCAAGCAAAACAAGAAAACCTCTTCAGGGCAAAACTGGGAAAGAGAGCATTGTATAGGAAATATGAGGCGGCCTCATGGAACACAAGGCTTAAAGTTGCTTCAATTACTATCACTACCTCTGCTGCTCAGTGATTTACTCAGAAGTCTTGTCCCCTTCGTGCAAAGAGTAGTAATCTTTTCTCATATACACATATGACTCTACACAAAACATACACTAGGGTAGTTTCTTTAACAGGAAGGAAATGGCATAATGGTATATAAAGCTGTTACAGATATTTAGCTAGAGAAATCCGTGGTAAAAGTTCTTTTTAAGGATTTTCTTCTGTACTCTGAACACCCAAAACTTGCATAAAGCAATAGAAAATTTTGGGCATGCAAAACCTGACAGCTTTGCCCTTGGAGAAAGGGTTTTAAAATTTAATTTAAAAGTTTTAGAAGAAAGCAAAGCATCTCAGTCCAAGAAGTACACTTAACTTTTTCTTGATGAAAAGGGGAGTCAGCTCAGAATGGACATAATCTTCCCTCTTTGATCAACACAGCAAAATAAAACACCAGAAATACTTACAATTCCTAAGGCAAGTTCTTTCTACATCTGCTTTAGGCTATTTTGGCTGTAGCATTTATGTACTCTACTTATTTTGTGCATTAAATACCATAAATATCCCTGTTGATTTGTGATCTATTTGTGGGTTCCAACATACAGCTGTATTTCATTTGGTTGAGAGGACATTCTGCAAGTAGAACTTGTACACTAATACGTTTTATGGACAATCATTATTATTTGTGGATAAACCAGTGATGCTAACAGCTTTTCTCTATGCCATACTTCAGTTTTACATCTGTGTAACTATACCTAAGCCTACCTCTGCAGGAGAGAGGAAGAACATTTCTGTATGATTCACTTTGAAAACAAGTGAACTACCCTTTAGATTCATGTGGAAGGAATTTTGCACTCCCTTTGCAACACACAAAATACCTTTGCAGGCAAAAGAAACTTAGGCATTTCTTCAGAGACAACAGACTTTTCTAAAAGACAATACAAAAATTAGTAAAAATAATATCCTCTCTCCATATGAGTAAGCCCCCCCCCCCAATTAGCTTAACCTTCTGTACATATAGAACAACATTAAGTATTTCTCCGTTTTGCACATGCCTTTGGGGTTCTACTGAGAGGTGACATCTGCACAAGGTATTTTGTTTGGCTGGCATGCACAAAACACATTCTGTTTAGCACATCAGAAAGAAAAGAAGAGTTAGTACTGAAGAATAAGGTACATCTCATAAAAAGACAACCATGCAAGTTACATCCACCTACCTGTACTAGTGCGATATGTGCCTGTGTGTGCTGGTTGCAGAGGGTCCCCCTGACTCTGGCTGAGACTCCTCATAGGGGGCTTCTGATAAACTCTGTCTTCGTAAATAGGATCTATATGGTGTTCTGGAGACTGCAGTGCCCTTAACTCGGAGCCAAGGTGGCTGTGCTGGCTGCTGTAAGATGCCCGAGACCCAGCTGCAAATAGATTTATAAGAGACAATTAAGAGAGAGAAAAGTAAAGTGACAAATACAGGATCTGACTTTACTAAGTAGTACATAAAAACAAAAAAAACCCCAAACACAGAAATAAATGTTTTCAACGTAAAAATAGAAACAGCATGCAAGGGCAGCAACAACTCCAGTTAATCACTTTAGTGGCATCATCCAGTTGCCTGCATTTGCTCCAAAACCTCATTTCTTCCAAGGAAACTAAGTATTTTGTTGAGATAGATAACGTTGTATCATTTTCTCTTAATCAGAGAACAAAATTTGCCAACCTTCTCAAAAGCCATGCAGTGCATGAATGCCCTAGACCAAAGGGGTCTGCAGCAGAACCAGGAATGGGGGACAAGTAAGGAGCGGCAGTCAGAACTAGTTTCACATGTTACACCTTATCTTAAGATCTATAAATGAAGTAAGTTAAAGTCAATGAACAGATGTAGTTTCAAGAAGGCCGATCTTTTTGCTGTCTCACTAAAGCACAACAAAATGGATGTGCCTTATTAACATTTTGCCCTCAACAGTTGAAAAAAAAACAAAAACAACCCACAAACAAAACAAAACAAAATCATATTCCTAAGACTTTCTACAACTTAAGTATCTTCTGAGAATGAAAAACTATTTTAAGGATATAGCTTCTTTTTTTTATACATATAATTAAGAAGATCAACTGGGATTGTATTAAAAAATCTTATTCTACTGAATTCTACTATTTTCTATTATGTTATTTAAAAAAAAAAAAAAACAACTTTTATATTTTCTGCTGGGTTTATTTTTGCCACTTGAATCCCTTTGTCACTTAGATACTTCAGATTTGTGGTCCATCAGCAAGATTCCCAAGGAGAATCACAGGGAAGCCACACAAACATCACACATTTTGAGGGCAGGAATCAAGCCAGTAAGCAAGCAACACTTGGCAAAGCTTAGGTCTATACCACAAAGTGATCACATGCTATTTATCTGTTCAGAAAAGCAATCAATCAAAGATAGAACTGCTAATACTTCTGTGATCCTGGATGTGGGCAGTGTTCTACTAACTTCACTTGTACTGCTCAGACCATCAGT